GGGAGTCTTGCCAAACCAAGGACTGAACCCGTCTCTTACATCTCCTACGTTGGCAAGTGGGTTCTTTACCACTAGCGCCACCTGGGAAGCCCCCCCAATATCATATTTAAGTAATAGTTAACTTCACAGGGAAAATTTTCATGATATGTTAGAGGAAAATCACAAGTTGATATATATAAGTGTAAACCTATAAAAGAATCCCAAGTTTGACATATAATGTATACTGTGTATATATATGTAAACACACACACACATTTATGTGTATACATCTGTATATGTATGTATGTTCAGTTCAGTTGCTCAGTCGTGTCCGACTCTTTGCGACCCCATGAATCACAGCAAGCCAGGCCTCCCTGTCCGTCACCAACTCCCGGAGGTTACTCAAATCCACATCCATCGAGTCAGTGATGCCATGCAACCATCTCATCCTCTGTCGTCCCCTTCTCCTCCTGCTCCCAATCCATCCCAGCATCAGGGTCTTTTCCAATGAGTCAACTCTTCGCATGAGGTGGTCAAAGTACTGGAGTTTCAGCTCCAGCATCAGTCCTTCCAATGAACACCCAGGACTGATCTCCTTTAGGATGGACTGGTTGGATCTCCTTGCAGTCCAAGGGACTCTCAAGGGTCTTCTCCAACCACATAGTTCAAAAGCATCAATTTTTCGGCGCTCAGCTTTCTTCACAGTCCAACTCTCACATCCATACATGACCACTGGAAAAACCACTGCTCTGACTAGATGGACCTTTGTTGGTAAAGTAATGTCTCTGCTTTTTAATATGCTGTCTAGGTTGGTCACAACTTTCCTTCCAAGGAGTAAGCGTCTTCTAATTTCATGGCTGCAATCACCATCTGCAGTGATTTTGGAGCCCAAAAAATTAAAGTCTGACACTGTTTCCACTATCTCCTCATCTACATATATACACATACAAGGATCTTAAAACAAGAGAAATTGTTTAAAAGTTTATATAAGCAAGAGCTTGATTTCCCAGTTCTCTTACCCTCACCACAAACATTCAAGTGATCATTTCAATCCTGCCCCTTAAGGCAAACACTGAACATTCATCTTGCGAAGAAAGTGAAGAGGCCTCAAGATTCAGGTGCCCTAGGCAAGGCAAATACAAGCTGATTGTACTTCCCTAAAATACTTAAGCTGAACTGCATCAGAAAATTTTTAAAAAGAAAACTTTTGAAAATTAAAAATACAACAACAAAACTGATAGGCTTAATTAAAAGGTTAGAAGAGATCAAGTTCAGATAATCTTCCAGAAAGCAAAGCAATAGAAAAAGAAGTGAAAAACAGCAGAAAATACAGCAACCCAAAGGATCTATTCAGGAGCTCCAATATCAAATGAACTGAAATTTCACAAGAAAGAAACAACTGTATAAGGAAGAAAATACCAATCAATCAATAAATCCCCCCAAAAGATAGGTCTACAAAATGCAGAGTCTTTAACGGATGAGTACAAAGAACGGCACTCAGCACTGGAGCCTCCTTATTCCCACACCGCAGCCCACTTGCACCAGCACACCCTCATGAAATTTCAGTACACTGGGGATAAAGAAAGACTCTAGAAGCCTCCAGAGGAGGAGAAGAGGGAAAAAAAAAAAAAATATATATATATCAGGTAACAACGTGTAACTGGACTCTTTAACGTAACAGTAGATGCTAGAAAGTAGCACAGCAGCAGTGCCTTCACAGTTCAGAATGAAAATGTTTTTTAATCTAGAACTCTAGAATCTGACAAACTGTGAATCAAGTATGTAGGAAGGCATTTTCAGACAAGCAAAAGTTCAAAATTTTCATCACACATGCATCCTTTCTTAGGAAGCTACCTGAGGGTACGCTGAAGTAAAGGAGCACACAAAGAGGGAGGGAGACCTGAGACACAGCAAACAGGACCCAGAGCCCAGAGAGCAACTCGAGGAAGCAGCAGTGTGAAAGCCACGCAGCTGGCTCAGAGGGTGACAGGACGGGCCAGAAATAAGAAAGGAGAACTGCAGAAAAAAATACCCCCAGGAATAAAGGAGAATCACCACACTATCTCTTCACAGAACAAAGAATAAGACAGAAAATGAAGTAATAAGTTTGTATGTAAATGAAAAAGAGGCAATTTTTAGCTTTCTGAAAACCAAGAAAGGACTTCTGATCTGCACTGAACAGTATTTGCAAAGTCAATAATGCCTGATTACTGCTTAATAGTCTTAATAACCCTAGTTAGGTTATGAAATTATTAGAGATAAGAAGGAAGCTAAATTATAGAAGTGATCAATTCTTATTTATCCTAACAAGAATAACCTCAGATATGCTGATGACACCACCCTTATGGTAGAAAGTGAAGAGGAACTAAAAAGCCTTTTGATGAAAGTGAAAGAGGAGAGTGAAAAAGTTGGCTTAAAGCTCAACATTCAGAAAACTAAGATCATGGCATCAGTCCCATCACTTCATGGCAAATAGATAGGGCAACAGTGGAAACAGTGGCTGACTTTATTTTCCTGGGCTCCAAAATCACTGCAGATGGTGATTGCAGCCATGAAATTAAAAGACGCTTACTCCTTGGAAGAAAAGTTATGACCAACCTAGACAGCATATTAAAAAACAGAGACATTACTTTGCCAACAAAGGTCCATCTAGTCAGAGCAGTGGTTTTTCCAGTGGTCATGTATGGAGTGAGAGTTGGACTATAAAGAAACCTGAGGACGGAAGAATTGATGCTTTTGAACTGTGGTGTTGGAGAAGACCCTTGAGAGTCCCTTGGACTGCAAGGAGATCCAACCAGTCCATCCTAAAGGAGATCAGTCCTGGGTGTTCACTGGAGGGAATGATGTTGAAGCTGAAACTCCAATACTTTGGCCACCTGATGCGGAGAGCTGACTCATTAGAAATGACCCTGATGCTGGGAAAGATTGAGGACAGGAGGAGAAGGGGACGACAGAGGATGAGTCAGTTGGATGGCATCACCGACTCAACGGACATAGGTTTGGGTGGACTCTGGGAGTTGGTGACGGACAGGGAGGCCTGGCGTGCTGCGGTTCATGGGGTCACAGTCAGACATGACTGAGCCACTGAACTGAACTGAACTGAATGCAATATATATCTAAAACTGGTCAATTTAAAAATAAAAAGTAATGAGCATTTTATTCAGAAGTTTGAAATTAAAAGGAGATGAGAATTAAGAATTACATCTGTGGGAGAGATGAATCAGGAGTTTGAATTAGTAGATGCAAATTATTATGGATAGAATGGATAAACAACAAGGTCCCACCATATAACACAGGGAACTATATTCAACATCTTATAATAAGCAGCAATGGAAAGAATATGAAAAAGTATATATATTTATATCTGATTCACACACCTGTACAGCAGAAATTAACAGAACATTGTAAATCAGCTATACGGCAATAAAACAAATTTTTTAAAAGAGTTACAGCTGGATGGAGACAATGGAGAGAGTCCTGGCCATTTTTTATTATAAACTTTTCAGTACTGTTTTTTTTTTTTTTTTAACTGGAGGATAATTCTTTTACAAAATACTGTGCTGGTTTCTTCCATATATCAACATTATTTGATTTTTTAAATTAAACTTTATTTTTAAAACTTACAAGTCATGATCTTCCTCCCAAATACCCATTGTTGTTGCTGTTCATTCGCTAAGTTGTGTCCAACTCTTTGTGACCCCATGGACTGCAGAGCGCCAGGTTTCCCTGTCCTTCACTATCTCCTAGAGTTTGCGCACACTCATGTCCATTGAGTCAGTGATGCTATTCAACCATCTCATTCTCTGTTGTCCCCTTCTCCTCCTGCCCTCAATCTTTTCAGATCAGGGTCTTTTCCAATGAGTCAGGCAAATACCTTAGTCGAGCTATGAGGAAGACATCAGACAAATCCCAACTGAGGGACATTTTAAAAATACCTAACCAATATTCCTCAAACTGTCAAGGTCATCAAAAGCAATAAAAGTCTAAGAAACTATCATAGCCAAGAGGAACCTAAGTAGCCATGACAACTAAATATAATGTGGTATCTTCAAGCACTCCAATGTTCACTGCAGTGCTGTTTACCACAGCCAAGACATGGAAGCAACCTAAATATCCATCAACAGAGGAATGGATAAAGAAGATGTGGTACAGATAAACAATGGAATATCAGCCATAAAAGGGATGAAACTGCCATTTGCAGAGACTTGTATGGACCTAGAGAATTTCACACAGTGAAATCAGAAAGAGAAAAACAAATATCATATATTAACTTAAATATATGGAATCTAAGGAAAACCAGAAACAGACACAGATGTATGAATACCAAAGCGGAAGAGGGGGGTTGGATGAATTAGGACAGCAGAGTTCACATAAATACACTATTGATATTATGTATGAAAAAGATAACTAATGAGAACCTACTATACAGCACAGGAACTCTACTCAATGCTCTATGATGACCTAAATGGGAAGGAAATCTAAAAGAGGAGATATACGTAAAGAGAGAGAATACTGGCAAAAAGAGAATGAAGTAATGCCACCTGCAGCAACATGGATGAACCTGGAGATTATTAAATGAAGTAAGTCAGACAAAGACAAACGTCATGATACTGTTTATATGAGGATCTAAAAAACAAAACGATACAAAAAACTTATTTACAAAACAAACAGACACAGACTTAGAGAAGGAATTTATGGTTATGGTGGGGGGGAGAGTGGGAGGGAGGATTAGATTGGGAGTTTAGGACTGACATGAACACACTGCTATATTTAAAATAAATAATCAAAAAGGACCTGCTGTATAGCACAGAAAACCCTGCTCAATAAATTATGTGGGAAAAGAATTCTGGGGGACAAAAAAAGGTATATGTATAACAAAAAAAAAAAAAAAACCAGAGTAAAATTTTAAAAATAAAGATCTCTAGATAGCAAATATTAATTAATATTTAAAATGTAATATCCTAAATAGGATCCTTGAACAGAAAATGGAAATTAGGTAAAAAATAAGGAAATCTGGGATTTCCCTGGTAGTCCAGTGGTTAAGATTCTGCACTTCCAATGCAGGGGGCCCAGGTTTGATTCCTGGACAAGGAACTAGATTCCACACATTGCAGCGAAGATTCTGTGTGCCACAACTAACACCAGATGCAGCCAAATAAACAAATATTAAAAAAAAAAAACTAAGGAAATCTGAATAAAATATGGACTTAAGTTAATGTATTGATAGTGTTTCGTTAATTAAGACAAATATACTACACAAGTATAAGATTTTAATAATATAAGAAAGTGATACAGCACATATGGGAACTCTATACGAAGTCCCCAACATGCCTGTACATCTAATACTGCTCTAAAATTAAAAGCTTATTGAAATTTAGACTTCATATAAGTATATAACAACAAAACCTAGTTAATTAAAAGAAAAACACACAGTCACACAAAGTTGTGTACATAAGCTTAACACTATGTAATGGACAGAGCTCGAAGACACACTGTTAGGTTAAAAAGTGCAAGTTACATTGGGGAAGGGAATGGCAACCCACTCCAGTATTCTTGCCTGGGAAGTCCCATGGACAGAGGAGCCTGGTGGGATATGTAAATATACATTGTTTGTAAGTAAAAAAAAAAAGTGCAAGTTACAGAAAAATGTAGATAGGATGTTTAGGCTTTTAAAAATAAACTACATATTCTTTTCTGTGAGTGTGTATGTATGTAAAAATGTATACATGTAAATGCATAGAAAAAGGTCTGAAGGACAGACACAGACACCTGAGGAACAAGGGCACTCCTGGTTTTATCTCAAGCATGTCTAAAGTATTTAACATTCCTGCAACAGAAACAGATTCATATCTATGCATTACATGTGTAAGCTGTTAAGCCTAAACCATGTCTCCCTGAAAGAAGAACTGATAATTAGTTTTTTTTTTTTTATTGTCAAATTATTTCTTAAGAAAAATTTAGAATCACTTCGGGCATGTTAGAAGGAAAGAGAAAAGAGAAAAGGACACTTCAAAATAAAACAATGAATTAATATGTGATGAAGTAATAAACATACATACAAATAATCTTACTTTTTTCAAAGTCCTCCCTTCATTATAACTATTCAAATGTATTTCTGTCTTACTTTACACACATTACCTCAAAATTACATTATACTTCCAAGAGAGAACAAAAGAAAGATGAAAACACAATACAATTATATTTTTATATATTTATATATATATATATATTCTGAATATGTAAACATATATACATAATTTGTTAAATTTAAGGTTTTAACAAAAAGAAATGCCATTCATTATGACTCATTAAGACATGCTTTTTGGTATAAAGAAGGATCTTCATACAGGCTCATTAGCTTTTTTTGTTTTTTTTTTTAATAGAAAAGTCATAAGAATCCACCAGAGCAGTTCTTAAGAAATGTTGGGAGAAATTCATGCTAAAGCTATCAGCCACATTACATTCTTGTAGCGCAAACCTCCAACAAGCTTCATGTAATGTTTTACTTGCTCTTCATACGTGGCATAATTCACAGCGCAATGATGCAGTCCATGAGACCGACTGGTCTGAGCAAGAACTGTCACCTCCTCCCCATGACCATCCCCCACCCAGGAATAAGTATAGCCGGAAATAAGATCTGAGAAGCAGGGAGCAGGAGAAAAATGACACAGAACTGAAGTGGGGAAGCAGAAGGGAAAGTAAATTACAAAAATTATAAGAACATAAAGGGAAAGAAAAAGATAAAAGGATACAATAAAGAGAAAATACCGTACATACAGTGGGATGGGGAAAGAGGACATTTATCACACCCCTCCCCAACAAAGTCAATCAAGACCACAGAATCCAATGTCTTCTCGGCCCTTTTCCCTTAGTACTTACTGCAACAGACATTATTAACTTCCTCATCAAAAACTGTACTGAAGTTTCAGTGAAATTGAACTAGCCTATCTGATGACTCACTAATTCACAATTCATCATCCCAAATCTGCACACTCCCCTAGGGACTACCCTAGGCATGCTTTCTCTCTTGGTTCTCTGTGTTTCCTCTAAAATGCAATCCTATAATTTAAACTATAACTTTAGGTAAATGAAACCCCAAATTAATCTCTCAATCCAACTCTTCTACCAAGCCCCTCGGGCCTTCATCTCTATAAGAAATACTTAACAACAAAATTATCATCTTTCTCATATAAGTAAAGCTCAACCTCTCCTTTTAATTCTCTCTTTATACTAATGGCACAACATCCTCCAACATTCAAATTCAAAAAATTCTCAGAAACCTTTATTATGTGTCCTTCTTCCATTTCCCCTTAACATTAAGTCACCTGCTCAGTTCAGTCTATTTTTCTATTAAAACATGTCTATCTTTCTTCCCTTTCCATAGCTACCACAAACACTGATTCATTACCTTCCGAAAAAAGTGACCTTCCTACCTAGAGTTTCTCTCCACTCCACCAATCCACTGAACACACAATGACCAAATATTCTTTGAAATGACAGTTTTTCATGTCACTCTCTTCTGCTTTAAACAAACAAATCCTACCAAAAAAAGAAAATTTCCAATCTATGGCATTCCATAACCTTAGTCAAAGCTCATTTTATTTTTTAATAACTTATTCTACTACTCAACTACATGCATATATATGCAAGATTCCAGAATGTCTGACTCATTATTCAAATGTCTTACTCCAATATTTTTGCTAATACCATTTAGCTGGAATGTCCTCGCCCACTCCATCTCTGCCTAAAAATCCTGTATGTCCTGTAAGATCTATATGAAATTCAGCTTCTTTCATTAAGCCCTCCTACATCCCTACAACTATTAATAAAAATTATCACTGCCTCTCTGTCTTATGATTCAAATTCTGATTATGTAGCTACTCCATCTGCCCTACTGGATTATAAACTTTTTTGTAGTTATCACATGTTACTCATCTTTGTTATTTTCTATAGAACCTAGAAATGTTTTGCACACAATGTTCAATATGAATGAAGTTTCCAGCGGGCAAAAGAAAAAAACGGTTCAAGTAAATAGAAACAAATTACTAGTGATAAGCATCTAAAGGATCAGCAGTCACAGAAGACAAAAAAAAAGGTCAATATGCAGAAAAAGAAATAAACAAGATGAATAACAAATGCAGAGTGTCATTTCATTACAGCTAATTATCTCTCCAATTAAATTATAAATACTCTAATAAAAACAAGAAATATAAACAGTTTTCCTCTTTGCATTCCCCCCACTGGGCCAAGGGTACAGCAGGCAGTAAATGCTTGTTGAATGCACATAAGAAAGAAGTAGAGGACAAATTAGAAAAATAATGATGTAATATAAGAACATATATAAATTATTTTATAAAAAACAATAAATATAAACAGATTTACCACAAATTTTTTTTGGGTACTTAAGGGATAGTTTCCAACTTATAGCCTGCACATATAAAAGCACTAGTTCTAGTTCTTCTGCATCAAGTTTTCCCCAGTAGATAGAGTTGTATGACAAGGGAAGAAATGTATAAATAGGCTTCAGAAACTTGGAAGGAAAAGAAGCAAATATTTCCTTCCTGATTAAGGGATGACTGAGATCTGACAGACATGAGGCAGATGGTAAACACCTGACTCCCCTAGAGTTGTTTACCCGTCCACACGGAGGGAAATTCCTGAAATCAGGGTGAATTGTCCTTGTGGGTGTAACTGTAAAAACTGATACATTAAAAATCCTGAGATTTGAAAGAAACACGCAGACCCAGTCAACTAAGAACGCAGGGGATTGTGAACTGCTGAATTGAGGGAGAGTTGTGGAGCTTCTGCTGCTTCTTACATAATCAGGGTCAATAAAAACTGATCTCTGAAGACTCCTCCTTTTCTAGTATTCCTTAATTGTATGTTTCTTTTTTTTTCCCCATAAAGGGGAAATATTTAGTACAATACTTATACAGTAACAACATCCTATGTTTTATACAGTAATGCAAAAAATGTTTCTACATGAAGATATTAAGAGGAAGTTCAAAGTGCAATTCTTATGTCTCCTTCAAGAGGGGATTAAGAAACTTTAAATAGATTGTCATACAGTAGTCTCCCCATATCCTGGGGGCTATGGTACAAAACCAGTTGGATATCTGAAACCACAAATCGTACTGAACTCTACGTATACAATGTTTTTCCTATGTGTACATACATATCTACAATAAAGTTTAATATATAAATTAGGCACAGCAAGAGAGCATGTGAATTGCCAGCATCACAACTCTTACACTTCGGGGCCATTGTTAAGTAAAGTTAAGGGCTACTTGAATACAAGTACTGTGAAACCAGGACAGTAGATCTGACAAATGAGATGGCTGCTAAGTGACTGACAGGTGGGTAGTGTGTGTGGTGTGTGGATATGCTGAACAAAAGCATGATTCACCACCTGGGAGGGATGGAGAAGGATGTTCATCACACCACTCAGAACAGCACACAATTTAAAACTTATCAATTGTTTACTTCTGGGATTTTCCATTTAATATTTTCAGACAGTGGTTGGCCACAAGTAGCTGAAACTGCAGAAAATGAAATCTCAAATAGAGTGGTCTACTGTACCGTCAAAACAGCTCAGGCTTTGCCGTTAGACATATTAAGTTCAAATTCCAGCTCTGCCACCAACTGACCAACACATATAAAACAAACTACGGAATTGTGTTGTGCCACAGCATTCTCACCTGTCAAAGGCAACAGCACTTACCTTTTAGATTGCTTTTAGAAGAATTAAAGGCAACATGTGCTTATTTCCAACACTATGCCCAGTATATTAAAGGCACTTGATAAATTTAGCTATTATTATTAAAGGCAAATAGTGGGATTTTATTAGGGAAGCATCTAGTAACATGCGTGTGTGTGTGTGTGTGTGTGTGTGTGTGTGTGAAGTCGCTTCAGTTGTGTCCGACTCTTTGCGACCTTAGGATTATAGCCCACCAGGCTCCTCTGTCCATGGGATTCTTCAGGCACTGGAGAATTCTGGTATTCTCCAGAATACTGGAGTGGTTGCCATGCCTTCCTCTAGGGGATCTTCCCAACCTAGGGATCAAACTCGTCTCTCTTCTGTCTCCTGCATTGGC